TACCTCAGCCTCCTGAGTAGCTGGGACTACAGGTGCATGTCATCACACCCAGCTAATTTCTCTTATTTTTTGTAGAGACAGAATCTCTCTCTGTTGCCCTGGCTGGCCTCAAACTCCTGCCCTCAAGAGATCCTCCTGCCTCAGCCTCACAAAGTACTGGAATTACAGGCATGAACCACTGCTCCCAGCAGAAAAGATTTCAGTTTTTTTCTCATTCAGTATGATGTTAGCTGTGGGTTTGTCATATATGGCTTTATTGTTTTGAGGTACTTTTCCTTCATTCCTACCTAATTTGCTGAGAGTTTTTTTTTATCATGAAGAGAGATTGAATTTTATCAAATGGTTTTTCTGCATTTATTGAGATATTCATCCAGTTTTTGTCTTCTCTTGATGTATCACATTTATTGATTTGCATATGTTGAACAAGACTTGCATCCCTGGGATAAAACTTGCTTGGTCATGGTATATAATCTTTTTGATAGGCTGTTGAACTTTGTTTGCTAGTATTTCACTGAGGATTTTTATATGTGTGTTTATCAGGGATGCTGGCCTGTAGTTTTCTTTTTTTGTTGTGTCCTTGTTGGGTTTTGTTATCAGGGTAATACTGGTCTCGTAGAATGAGCTAGAAGTCCTTCCTCTTCAATTTTTTGAGAAGAACTGGTGTTAGCTCTTTAAAATTTTGGTAGAACTTAGCAGTGAGGCCATCTAGTCCTGGGTTTTTCTTTATAAGGAGACTTTTAAATTACTGATTTAATTTTGTTACGTGTTACTGATCTGCTCAGGTTTTCTGTTTCTACATGATTCAATCTTCATAGGTTATATGTGTCCAGGAATTTACCCACTTCCTCTAGGTTTTTCAGTTTTCTGGCATAAAGTTGCTCATAATAGTCTCTAATGATCCTTTATATTTCTCTGATATCAGTTGTAATGTCTTCTTTTTCATTTCTGATTTTATTTATTTGGTTCTTCTCTCTTTTTTTCTTAGTCTAGCTAATGGTTTGTCAATTTTGTTAACTTGTCAAAAAACTAACTTTTGTGGCATGGGTCTTTTAAGTCTCTAATTGTTTATTTTTGCTCTGATCTTTATTATTTCTCTTTTTTCCTACTAATCTTGGGTTTGGTTTGTTCTTATTTTTCTAGTTCCTTGAGGTGCATCATTAGGTTGTTTGTTTGAAATCTTTCTGTTTTTTCGATGTATACATTTGTTGCTATAAACATCCTTCTTAGTACTTCTTTTAGTGTATTCTACAGGTTTTGGTATGTTGTACTACTATTTCATTTGTTTCAAGAATTCTAAAATTTTCTTCTTAATTTCTTTATTGACCCATTGGTCATTCAGGAGCATGTTATTTAATTTCCACGTATTTTTATAGTTTTCAAAGTTCATCTTGTTATTGATTTCTAGTTTTATTCCATTGTGGTCAAAAAATATACTTGATATCATTACAGTTTTTAAAAGTTTCTTGAGACTTGTTTTGTGGCTTAACATCAGGTCTATCCTGGAGAATGTTCCATATGCTAGTGAGAAGAATACATATTCTGTAGCAGTTGGATAAAATGTTCTGTAAATGTCAGGTAGGTTCATTTGGTCTAGTGTGTAGTTTAACTGCAATATTTCTTTGTTTATTTTCTGTCTGGCTGATCTGTCTATTGTTGAAAGTGGGGTGTTGAAGTCCCCTACTGTTATTGTATTACAGTCCATCTCCCCCTTTAGATGGGTTAATGTTTGCTTTATGTATTTGGATGCTCTGGTGTTGGGCACATATTGTTATATCCTCTTGCTGAATTGACCCCTTTGTAATTATATAATGATCTTCTTTGTCTGATTTTACAGTGTTTTGCTTAAAGTCTATTTTATCTGATATAAGTATAGCTGCTCCTGTTATCTTTTGGTTTCCCTTGGCATGTAATATTGTTTTCCATCCCTTCATTTTAAGTCTATGTATGTCCTTATAGGTGAGGTGAGTCTTTTGTAGGTGGCATATAGTTGGATTTTGTTTTTTTATCTATTCAGTCACTCCCTATCTTTTAATTGGAGAATGAATTCATTTACATTTAAGGTTATTATTTAAAAACAATTGCATAAATCAATAATTATAAATTATATTATTGGCCTTTTAACACATAAAAATGTGATAATATGTGACAATAATAGCATAAAGTAGGAGGTAGGGAATGGAGCTATATCCAAGCAAGAAAATGAAACAAGATAGTATATTGAATCTGTAAGAAGAAATTAAGTACTGAGAATGATAAATAAGTAGACTGATACTTAAATCTCTATAAACATATTTTTCTTTTCTTCTGTTAGCTTCTATAAAAGACATGCAATTATATAAAGCAATAATTATAACACTGTATTATTGGTTTATAACATATATAGATATGATATAGATGGCAACAGAAAGGAGGGAGAATAAATGGAGCTATATTGAAATAAAGTTTCTGTATTTTACTAGAATTGTTAGTATCAATGTGAAGTAGACTGTGATAGGTTAAAGTGTATAGTATAATCTGTAGAGCAACCATTATAAAATAACTAAGGAAATAGTTTAAAAATAAACAAAAGAGTTAAGATGATATGTTAAGAAGATTTCACCTAATATAAAAGAAGGTAGCAGAAGGAGAAACAGTAACATCAGCAATTGTCCTACACATTCCTCCCTATGGCATATAAGCCCTGGGTCTCAGGGATAATGGCACAGAGATCCATCCTCTGGCAGCTGCCTGTCATGGCTTCTGTTCATTAAGTCCCTGTGAAATGTTTCTTTCTGAAAAATCGGATATGTCAGCCTCTTTCTTTGGCCTCTCAGCTTCCACAAAGCTTGGGGGTAGGTTTGCATAGATCTGGTCACTGTGAAACACTAGGTTTAACATTTGAAGAAACTTCCAATCTGTTTATTTCAAAGTGGCTGCTTCATTTTAAATCCCCACCAGCAACGTATGAAGATTTCCGTTTCTCCACATCCTCATTGACAGTTATTGTCTGTCTCCATCTGTAGCCATCCTGGCAGTTGACAAATCATATTTCATTGTGGTTTTAATTTGCATTTCCCTAATGACTGATGATACTAAGCATCTTTTCATGAGAGAATTGGCCACTCATATTCCTTCTTCAGTGAAATACCTATTCAAATAATTTGCCTATTTTTAAATAGGGCCATTTGTCTTCTTATTACTGAGTTTGAGTTCTTTATGTATTCTGGATACAAGTCCCTTATCAAATAAGTTGCAAATATTTTCTCCCAATCTATGGCTTGTCTTTTCATTTAATTGATGGTGTCTTTGGAAGCACAAAAGTTTTGAATTTTGATAGTCTTTTTATTTTGTGCTTTGATCATGGATATGTCATTTATTAAGAACTGGTAAAGAGATAATATTCAAGAATGGAATATATTCCACATATGACTTAATATGATTTAAAGCAATCAGTATATAATGGCATTATCTTTTTTAAAATCTATTTTTAAGTAAATATTCACTTATGTATATCTTTATTCTTTTGTAATTTCAGCATGTTATTGGGGTACAAATGTTAGGTTATATATATATTGCCTTTTGCCCCACCCGAGTCAGAGATTCAAGCATGTCCGTCCCCAAGATGGTGCCCACATCAGAAGCTTGCTTAGTCTTGTTGTTTCAGATCTTTTTAAAATTTATTTTATTTCAGGATATTATGAGGGTACAAAGATTTTGGTTACATTTTATGACTTTGCCTCAACCAAGCGAGGATTAGAGGCATGCTCTTCCCCTCTACAATGCTCACCACGTCCATTAGTTGCGAGTTTACTCCACCCCCCCACCCCCTAATCCCTGGAGAATATTACTACCGTGTGAGCACCATAGTGTTGATCAGTTAGTGCCAATTTGATAGCGAGTACATGTGGAGCTCATTCTTCTGATTTTGTGATACCTCACTTCGGAAGATGGGCTCAAGCTCTATCCAGGAAAATATAAGAGGTGCTAGATCACCGTCATTTCTTGTAATTGAGTAATATTCCATTGTATACATATACCCAATTTTACTAATCCACTAATGGATTGACAGGCACTTGGGTTGTTTCCACATTCTTGCAATAGTGAATTGTGCTGCCATAAACATTCCGGTGCAGATGTCTTTATTATAGAATGTCTTCTATTCCTTTGGGTAGATGCCTAATAGTGCTATTGCTGGATCAAATGGTATTTCTATTTTTAGCTCTTTGAGGTATCTCCAAATTCTTTTCCACAGAGGTTGCACTAATTTGCAGTCCCACCAGCAGTGTAAGAGTGTTCCTATCTCTCCACATCCTCGCCAGCATTTGTTGCTTTGGGATTTTTTGATAGAAGCCAATCTCACTAGGGTTAGGTGATATCTCATTGTGGTTTTGACTTTTAATTTAAAAAATTTCCTCTAAACATCTGGGATAATTCCATTCATGTTGTGGTAGCGTATAAAACTCCATCATGAATTTTTCTCTTATTTCATGTTAGAAAGGGCTTTGAAGGAAGCATAGCAGATTGATAAAAAATTGAGTCAATATTGATAAAATCGTTTAAAGTCAAACTCCCTAATTTTGGAATCCTTTTGCATGTCTCGTTAACGGACAACCTTTTAGATGTCGGGTTGCACGAAGCCCCTGGGAAGAGCAGAGGGTGTGGGCAGCGACCCTGGCCCGGCGCGTCCCGCGGCGCGCGGGGGCAGGGGCGGGCGCGGACCCCGAGCTGCCGCCTCCAGTGGGCGCTGTGAGGCCTGAAGCCCGGAGCCTCCGCGGTGCCGCTCTCCGGCCCGGGGTCTCGCTCCCGCCCGCGCCCGACGGGAAAAGGGCGCTGCGCCTCCCAGCAAGCAGGCGCCGCCCTCCGGCCGCCCCGCGCGCCCCCCTTCGCTCCCGCGTGGCGCGGCCGCGTCCCGGCCCGCGCTCCGGCAGGGCGCGCCCTGCTTCGGGCCGGTCGGCAGCTAACGGACACCGCTCCGCGCCGTCCACTCCGTCTGAAGGACGCGACCGTGCAGAGCCGCCCCCATGGGCAGTTACCTCAGCCGGGCTCGCCCGTGCCCGCCGTGGCCCGCTCTGCGTGGCGGGGACCGGCTGGAGAAGCCCGGGCGCCTGCGGCCCGCGCACGCCCGCCGTGTTCCCCCCGCCTCCCGGGCTAACTCGGCGGCCTGGTCCCTGGCGCTGACCCGCAGGCTGTCTTACGAGGACCGCGTGGCTTCACCCCGTCGTCGCCAGCACCGGCGGCGGCTCCTTGTGGTCCACAGGCAGCGATATCCGATGGAGCGGGCCCGGTGTCTGCACCTGCGCGTCTTTTCCTCGGCGCCCTGGAGGGGCCGTCAGCACCAGCCGGCGCTGCCTGCTTCCAGCTCCAGGATGCTCTGCACCTCCGTGATCCTGAAGATGGCATCTGCTAAGGGCAGACTGACGCTGCGTGTGGCTCTGGAGCAGTCGGTCGTGTATATATGGCCCTCACTCGCGGACCACCTCTCAAACCCTCATGCAAAGGAGGCCCTGATGAGGGCCCTTAGAGAGAGCACTCAAGTGCGAGCCGAGGAGGAGAAAGCCCTGACCACCCCGGGTGACAGGAGGAAAGCACTAGCAGAGCACCAGGACGGCCACATGGCCCTTGAAAGGCAGGACGGTCCACGAAGGGGCTCAGATGGCAGGGGGAGTGCACAGTCTGCATTTCAGAGCCTGATGGTCAACGGAGTCCTCTCTTCCTTTGTGCCCAGGCCTGGGCCTCTGAAGAGAGACTTCTGGTACAAGAACTCAGCAAACAGCCTGCTAAGGAAATCCCAGACCTCCTTCACAAGCACTTGCAGCAGACAAACTGCCATCAGCAGTTCATACAGTTCCACTGGAAGCTTCCCACTGCTGCAGAAGAGAAATGGTGCAGGCGCCACTGGGTTCCCCAGCCCGGCCGCATCCGGTTCCCAGGTGACAGAAGAGAGCGCCAGCGAGGAAGGCCGGCAGGCTAGCACTGTAGCCTCAGTGGCACCACAAAGGAAGATCAAGCATGAAAGGGTTGTAGATGCTCCCTCAGGGCAGAAACAAAACCTGAGGGATTGCTCTCCTCCATTTGACAGTTCCAGGCCCCAGAAGCGCAAGATTTCTCTGCTGCTTCCCTGTAGAAGAAATGACCCGCTGATCCTGCCCTCACCCCCCCAGCTAGGTTATCGAGTCACTGCTGAAGACCTTGACTTAGAGAAGAGAGCAGCCATCCAGTGCATCAACCAGGTCTTGAAGGGTAAGACTGAGGCCATATCCACCTGCGGGGCCGTTCAGCCTTTCCTTTCTTCCACTCTGCCGGCTTCCAGGGCTTTCTGCACCAGTCCCCCTCCAGTCTCAGCACTCAGTTACAGTGCAAGTGCTTCAGGAAGATCGCAGAACTCCCCAGGCCCAGGGGCCTTCCTATAATCTGCTGGTGTGATTGCCTCTGTGGGCTGTTTGTTCCGGTTCTCCTCTTCACTTTGCTTGGCCTAGCTGTAAAGAAATTGGTTCCCATTCCCTGGCCCACCAGGAGTCTGTTCCCCATACTTTGCTGCTTGGCTGTTGCTGGTTCCTTGGTCAGGCTTTGCAGGAGACAACCGTGAGTCTAGCTTTGCTCTTGAGGGAGCCCAGGAGACCCAGTCAGCCCAGGGAAGCTCTGGTGGACCCAACAAGATGGTCAACTCTCCCTAGAGAGATAATGTTCTATTCCCATCCTCCTTTCTGCCGATGTGCCCCAAAGGTTGGGTGGCTGGAGCTTGTTAGCCTGGCTGACCCCAGTGGTCAGGATCCTCACAACAGCAGAGGGGAACTTTGGACAAGTTTTCCTCCACGCAGGAGAGGGCAGGATACCCGCTGCTGCTGCAGTTGCCTCTTCCTGCCTCTCTCATTTGCTTAATTGGGCCCTTGTCCATCTTTCTTACACAAAAAATTATGCACACACAGAGGAATTTTTGCTTACTTACCAAATGTTCATGTGTCTTTTCTCTTTGAATTAGTAGTGGAGGAAGAACTGAATTATTAATATATGTGTGGTGACACGTTTAGCGAGACTTAAGTGTGGCCCAGAGAATAGGACAGTCATCACACTCTCTGGCTCTAGGTACCGACTCCTGATTTCTGCATCTTCAGTGTATGGGATGGCAAGCCATGCACAGGCCTCTTCCTTCTGCTTCTCACCTGCCCACCTGACCTCCCTGTGGGTTAGATCTGTGGTCCCCAACCCCCCGGGGCCCCAGCCTGGTACCCGTCTGTGGCCTGTTAAGAACCAGGCTGCACAGCAGGAGGTGAGCAGTGAGTGAGTGAGTGAAGTTCATCTGTATTTACAGCCTCTCCCCATCACTCACATCACCCCCTGAGCTCCGCCTCCTGCCAGATCAGCGGTGGCATTAGATTCTCACAGGAACACGAACCCTACTGTAAACTGCACATGCGAGGGATCTAGGTTATGTGCTCCTTATGAGAATCTAATGCCTGATGAGCTGAGGTGGAGCTGCTGCAAGTACAGATTATCATCAGCAGCGAGGTTTGACTGCACAATAGATGTCATGTACTCGAATCATCCTGAAACCACCCCTCCCCGGTCCGTGCAAAAATTGTCTTCCATGAAACCAATCCCTGGTGCCAAAAAGGTTGGGGACCACTCTTCTAATTCACTCAGGCTCTTATTTTTTATTAATATTATTTCATTGTTTCTGTTC